TTTTAAAAAGATATGTGATAATAATTTCATAAAGCTCCAAAAAGAGATTTTTCTTAAATATCACTTCATATATAGAAGTCTTTGGAAATATTTTTTAACGCGAGGAATTTCTTTAGAATAATTTCCAAGTCGTCAAATGTCATCGAATTCACTTCACGGTTTGGCTACGTTGTACAGATTATAAAGCACGGTGTGTCTATAACGTCGGTCGGGCGAGCACAGGTTGAATTGGTACATCGCTATGAGTAAAGGTCGTTACACCCAACACGCATTCCTGAGGGCGCGCATAAATGACGAATTAGATTAGGTGACTCGGCTACATAAAGGCTTACCTTGTGTGTAGTCAGCTAGCGGACTTTCTTTAGCGGTATGGCTATAGTATTTGTTTGGGATTATATTCCAATATATATATTTATGCCAGGAACCAAGTGGAAAACAATTATTAATTAGCTTAAAATTAACACAAAATTCATTTTGATCAACATGTACACAGTCTATATATTTTTCAATAATGTAAACTATCCTTAACTATAATTTAGTAAATTTCACATAATATAATGTCAACATGGTTACAACATAACAGTCAGAATTTAATTATTTTGACCAATAAGTAAACAGGTTTTTAATTTGCTTTTGAAATATTTCTTAATTACATTGTCAAATGCCGTTTGAAGAGGATGCTTGTATTTTGTAAAAAAATTAATTAATCATCTTCAATTAAGAGAAAAACAAGAAGCTGGCATTGTATAATTATTATCAAAGAACATTAAAAAATCTTTATATTCTATAGTCTGAGCTCAAACAAAAAATGTATTGTCAAGCGTATTGTCAAAGTCACTCTAACTGTCACTGTCATCGGAATCCGAGCTTGTGTCATTAAAAAAAATCATCAATTTGAAATCTAGTTATACCATAATTCCTACAGGTTTTTTTAAAAAACTTCGTGACTGATTTGCATCGTAAGATTGTATTAGAATTTATTATAAAATATCCCCTACATTTTTTGATATACCGCAGACGTAACGACAGTTTGCGTCAATAAAAGAGACTGTTATATGAATTAGTAGTAATTAAATAGTTGTATGAACACTCACTTGTGACATCATATGTAATGTGGAAAAGTGTAAGCAACCTGAGCATTACCCAACAATAGAAAACATCGTAACATGCCGCTAGGATTGTGTAACATTCAAATTGTTAAAAGTTATTTTGAGATATAAAATTTGAGAGAACTGATTTAACCAAACTGACCGAAAAATACATAATGATTGTTTTTTTTCGTCTCTCATAAGTTAAAAGTCAGGTTATTTTTATCATATATACCGAATATTAAATAAGAAGTCCTTACTAAATGTCAATCTTCGAATCACGACTATTCATTTGCAAATATTTGATATGTTATTAGTGTTCAATTTATCCGATCTTTTTATTAATAGACTACAAGATCTGACATCGCTAACAGAACTGACGATATGAGGAAAGTGAAGTGTTTAACATTGTACAATACATACAATGAAGGTCACGATTTGTATGCAACGAGAGAATTAGGAAGAGAAAAAAAAATCCTCATATATTTTTTATTTTGTGTTATTTTAAATTTTGGGTAACTCGGTTCAACGGACGAGAGATCGTGAACTTTGGGAACTTATACGTAGCATTGGGTTAAAAATTAATGTATATATTTTTTATATAAACACAGTGTATTGATCTGTTGACGAGGAATTAAATGTCGATGAGAGAAACTTCTATTGATAAAAGAACAGTTCTCGTGCGAAGTGACAATGGTCCCATTATGACACAAACACATACTGAGAAATAAAAATATATGGAATATAAACAAAGGAGACAGAACCTACTTACTAACTCTGATATAACTAACTAACTTGATTACTTACCATTCTCAGTTAGTCAGTGATTTGTCTGAGTTCAGAGCTTAGTTCAGACCATTTATTTACATTAATAATAATTGTTAATATGAACACAATCCGTCTCCGCACGAGCGACTGTTTAACGCCTCTCGTATCACGACTCATAAATCACAGTATGTTATTATTAATGTTTCTATGTACTCTTTGTATTTATTGTGTTTATATAATAATAATATTGTGTTGTATTCGTCTTCTAGAACGTCCACGGATGTCGATGCTCTTCTAAATTATTCACCGTTTATATTAATTATACATAACGAGCGGTCTCCTCCGGCCGGCGAGTGTGTTGTAATCGTTTTTAATTCGTCGAATTATTAAAGTTTCAGTAGGAAGGATATCGGTCCCGGTGTATCAATATTAATGTGTTACAATGAAGCTCGATACCTCATTATTGTATGACTAATTGTTATTTAAGACGAGTCTATTAGCATGTAACAGGTATGTGTGAGTCGTAATACATTACTATTGCTAACCTGTCGGTGAGATAAGACGCAACGAAATGATCAGAGGTCAACGAACTCGACGGCTTCATAGACACGACGAAAGGGAAAGTACGGAGTGACCGATTGTAACATTAGCTGAGTAGCACTTGATGTTAAAAACAAACGATTAAGTTATTCATACCATTAAAATAATTAATAGTAATTAATGTTTATTACGGTTTTTATAAACTATTAAAATTAATTGTTACGACAAAATTATTTTAATATTGTGTGATATGAACTATTGTTTGTAAACCAGTTGTTGTGTCAAGGTGAATCTATTTCCGTGATCTGATCCAAGACATTTCGGATTGATCGTTTTATTATATATCTATACAGGGTGACTGGTGAATTACTATCGATATTTGAGGACGTGATTTTTGACGATCATATATGACAAAATAAAAATTAATATAACATAAATATTAATAAACTTCTAAGTAAAGTTAACCAAAAGTTATGTAATTAATTACGCATCGTGTGAACACCCTACAGATTAGGTATACACTGACACTCACACATACGCGTGTCGTGACGTGGTGTTGTATCAGCACGCTGCCGCACGCGTCCACACTTGAACACTTGGAACGTGTCAACACTTTACTTATTTATACGGAAATTTTGTCAAAAATTAAGTGCCTATTTTTTTTACATAATTCGAATGAGAATCATGTACCGAGTATTCTCCTTAAATATTGATAGTAATTCACCAGTCACCCTGTATATTTTCTAACTTATGTTCCACATGCAAAGTTTAGCCATCGACATCGTTCAGGGCCAAACGCTCTCTACATGCAATAATAATATAAAACCTACTTTTTCTAAGTATTTGAATATAAAATAATGAGCTATACAAATTCACTTCCTCTAATACCGGTACGAGCTCCCCTCACGGGTCCCACAGCCGACCTTGAACACTATCAAACATCTATATCAGATGAATCTCTCATTACAAACAATATTTAAACTAGTTATGATCTCAGTAACGTTTAACAAGATGAAGCGTGCTTACAGCAAGTGTTTTATTTATATAAAGCTTCGTTCATTAAACAGAAGATTCGGACATGGATTCTTAAAATCAATATATCTAATTAAAAACGAAACCTCTCATCATTCCATGTATTCACGGTGCGGGTGTCGGGTCTATCATTACAGGGAGAGGAGCTTCAACAGTGACTGGGACTTACGACCCAGGTGTAGGTTTAAGGGGCCCCTATCTAACGCGCGTTAAACGCTCACCTCCACCGTCCAAGCTCCTCTCTCTGCTTAATCAAATTTGAAAAGAACTTACTAGGTCTGCCTTCGAAGTACTTTCCAAGGATGAATTATACGATTATTATTATTATTTTCCGATCAAAAATAAACGAACAATCTGAACAGTAAACAGACCCGTCCAGTGACAATCGTTGGTACCTTTCTGATGTAATGTATGGACTATAGACACAAAACACATAGAAGAATGTTACAGCATTATTCTGTCATAAAATCTTATTTACCTTATAGTTAATAACGACTAATTTAAGCTGGAAGTCCATAGTGCCTTTATATAAAGTTATTGACGTATAAACATCAGAAATTTAATAAAACTTGTAGACAGAATGTAATCTGATCATTAAATTAATTAATTATATTAAGTATTTCGAGTCGCCGCTCGAGCCGCTACTCGGTTCCTTGTTTACGGGATCCTTCAATCTACTCGTACTTAATGATTAACAAGCAGTAACAACACAATCTATGAAGCGGTAACAACAGTCTGTTGTTGAAATATATAATAAATATTGTTTTACTTATATATATGGTTGAAGCTACTTGTTTGTAAAGCGTTCATGTTTTAATTAAATGCCCGGGTGTTAGTGTCGAGACAAACAATGAATCTAACAGATTCATGTTAATATTATTGAAGAGTGTTTTTGTTTGTTTTCCATTCCCGTTCATCATAGTTATGAAATCAGAACGCCTCTTATGGAAATACAGAGAAGAACAGTATTCGTTTTATGTAAATATAGTGTAGGGGAATAGAAACAGTTTAAGATACAGTTATTAATATTACCGACGTATAAGTAAATAAATAATAAAATAAGAATGTATTTCCAACTCGATGAATAGAACAATTGCTTTTGTTTCATTATAAAACTTATTGGAAATGTATAGAAAATTATGAGATACCTAATTATTGATTTTTCATATAATCTTACGATTATAAATTAAATTGAAATATCAATGATGTCATAATATGTATACATATAAAAAAGAAATTAGAATATTGAATATAATATCATGAATATTCCTTATTGTTCCTGACTGTGTGTATCGTTCAATACCCGTGGCATCTTTAAGACTGTATGTGTTACATGTGTGATGATAATCACTAACATTATTCATTTTAACCTCCAAGACCAAGTCACAGCGTCAGTTGTTGTTTGCCTCGACATTGTACAAACAATCGCTTACATTGATAAGGGATTGGATTGATAGAGATTGGTGACAACCCATGTGGGAGCGCCCACGCGGATATTTGTCCTAAATATTTTCTGCACTCAATTTAATATCTTTGGGTATCAAATATTAATGTAATATTATTTATTTCCAGGTGAAAGCTGCATCGAGAAGCCACTCGCTACGTTATGGCGTAACTACCAACAGTCGACCAAACCTGATGTGGTGATGAAGTTATCCGTCACCAATTCCGGTCTCAAGGGATTCACCAAAGAACACGGACTCACAGAGTACTGGTCCCACCGCATCACGTACTGCGCGAGTCCACCACACTACCCTAAATTATTCTGCTGGGTTTATAGACACGAGGGAAAGAAATTGAAACACGAACTTCGCTGCCACGCTGTTCTCTGCGCCAAAGAATCTGTGTCAAAGAAAATAACAGAAGAACTACAAGTCAAACTGAAACAAGCTTTAGTTGAATTCAAGAAAGATAGAATATCTAAACAGAATGCAAGGCTCAGTCTCGCGAATAGTGTTTATGACAACCCGAGCATGCCTCGCAGAAAAATACTTCTGAGCGTAGGTGCTTTAAACTATAAGCCACCTTTGGAGCGATCCAAGTCAGCCCCTAAACTTGGTGCTATCGAGGAACTCTGTTCAGAGGAAGACGAAGAGGAAGCCGAGATGAATGAAAGGAAAGAAAAGTTGACACAAGTTTCATACACGTCTGCATCTGCGACTCTGGATCGGCGGCGAGCAGAGATGATGTCTTCACGTAAACTGTCTTGCCCCGAAGGTGTTATGGAACGAATAAAATTAGCTACCGTAGAGTGCAAGGATAATGTTTCAGAAACATTAACGAATATTGAGACTTTTGAAACAGAAATTCATCATGAACATACTAGTCACAACGATAATGAGAACCTTCAGAGGACTTTAGAAACGATACGCGCAGACATGAAGGCCATAGAGGTTCACAGTAACCCACTGCTATCTCAAAGTAACTTCCTCGTCACGGACAGCGACGATGGATCTGTTTCTTCGGGGTGCGAAACAGCGAGCACGGTTACCTCATCGGACGCGGAACCATCGTCTCTTCCATCACAATATTCATCAGAGGAAGTTCCAAAGGAGTTAGACATCGAGGAAGAGAGGGAGTCGGTGTTCGACAGACACTTCGAGAGTGCTTCGATGAGGAATAGAAACTGTTTGACGATGGGCGGCGACGGAAACGATTCAAGCACGATCAGTTCCGACGAAGTCAGCCACGTACCGATGGGAGAAAGGAATACCTTCCGACGGAGATCCACATACCCTCCGCTGAGGTCTGACTCCAGCCTCCTCGACGACATACAGGACAAGTTCGATACCTTGATCGACAACCTGACAGATACGGAGAGTCTGAACTATACTGGGGAGACGGAAGTGTTCAAGAGTCACGGAGACAACGACAGCGCCTGCAGCGATGAGTCAGGATACTCGGAGCTGCTGGACGTGAAGGAGAGCGTCATAGGGAACACTATCATGGTGTAGACGGTAGAGGAGCCGGTGGAACACGAATCAATGCACTTTGGTTATAATTTATAAACTAAGTTTTAGGTCGATACATATTTTATTGTTTGTAAATATTTAGACATTACTATGTATATGTTCGTCATCCAGTTGTTTTTATTTGAATCATGTGTATATATTGTATATTGTGTTGTAATAATTTTTATATAAAAAAATATATTTTTTACGTTCACACCTTTACATCGGATGTCCGTAATGAATTGTTTGTTATCTGTAAGCTTGAGTTTATAATATATTGTGGATCTTAGATAAATTTAGCTTCTTATTTAACAGATCTGATTGTGAATGATAGTCGGAAGGTTTGGAGGTCTGGAGGTACTTACACATTCCACGCTCGTACACCGTTCACTGTTCGGGACACTATTACATGTATCGATGTTATTAAAAGATATCATTATGATATGGACCTGTTTCATTTAAACCTTGACTACAATCGAAAGAAAACATATAATATAAACTTCTTGAATAAAATTAAAGACCTATCTCCCTGCATAAAAGACATTTAAAACAGTCTACTGAGCTATTAGTTCCATAATAATATTGAACGGTTTGTTTTGATCTATCACATCACCAGGTCTGTGACTAGTTGTTGTTGGAACCAAATGAAGTATAACATATTTTCTCTGTCACGTTATTGTAAGTCTCTTAGCAGAAATATACTTCTTTGAATCAAGCCAAGAGAATTGTTATAGTACAAAAACATAGTTTAATATTTTCCAAAAGGATTTTTTAAATTTGTAACTATTATATAAAGCATTTTTTCGATTTGAAATAAATATGGCTTCGTTAATATTATGTTAAAAATACCAAATCGTTTAAGCCATACAAATTCATTTAAACTGCAAAGTGGGGCGACCGATACGAATTCGCCCCACACAGATATTGAATAATTAACAGCCTTAAGGCTTTTGTCGACCAACGACGGTACAGCCTTCATTGTAAACTTTAGTAAATGTCGAAATACATAACAGAACATACTGCGATGAAATACCAAGGACATATATGCATACAGTGTTTAATTGGGAAAGAAACGGGGCGTAGTGCGATAACGAAACGAGAATACTTACAGTCATACGTTATAACAAATTAATTTCGTCGTAGGTGGAGAGGTTACTTTTATGGATAAAGCTCGCTACAGACGATATGTGGGAAGGATTTTATATTGACGAACTTAAAGTATATCCAAAAACCAGTTTGTAGATTCCACTCTTGAACATTTCGTATAATATCAATAGCATTCATCGTCCTATAGTCTCCACGTGTCTCCGTTCGTCCGCCAAATATCTCGGATCCTTTCAAACCGAACCTACTCCCAAAGAACCAGTTCAATTTGCATATTAATAACAAATGCTGAATAATATAAAACATTTTTTATATTTAATATTTTAATATATTTAGATTTTTAAAATTTTCTAAGATATTAATGATGTATTTCTTCTTTTTTACGTGTAATTTGAACGAACTTTTAAGATCACTAAAATTATGTTGAGCAGAATGTTCTCCACAAAATAATTGATGAAGACTACTTAAATGGCTTTCAATAAAATCTGTTTTAAATTATAATTTTGCATTAATAAAATATTTATTGTCTCATATACAAGCGGCATAGGATAATGACACAGTCAGAAACAAAGAGGATACAGTGACAATACAGTGAAAATAATTATGAAAATGCATATAGAATTTTATAGATCTTAGACATTTTTTTACAAATAAACATAAAACACACAATACAACTAAAGGTAACTACGTGTAATATCTGATAATTATTTTATTATTTTTATATTTCGGTTAAACGTCATGTCATGCACCGCTAACAGGTGACCATCTGTCAGTAACGAACTCTTATAACAGATGGACAAGTGAATTGATTTACATGAGCTGGTTATATGAAATAATGATATTTACTAACGAAACATATTCTAATGTACATTATTTTACTGTATAGTTACGGTCAAAGAATTGTTAGAGTACCAATCACATAATGAAGCAGCCTGAACTATTTACCATATTAATGTGTATAAAAGTGATTTAATAATCTTTATGTCTAGACGGGTAAGGAGTTACGACGTCGAATAAAGATAAAACAATTTACAGAAAGCATGGTTCCTTAACCTCATACATAAAGTTCGCTGACCAGAAAGGTCATTGCTTTCGTGGAATCCATTCCAAATAATTACGACTTAAAGATCGAAGCAATTAATATCATTTGTATTAAAGCTGCCTTCACCTATAGCTGATGATCAGAAGCGCTTTCCGGGGGAACAAAACAATAAGGAGACAATGAGAAAGGCACACGTTGAAAATTTCTTTGGAGAAAAAACATTGAAAATAAGGAATATATTAATAACTATGTATTGAATCTTGTATACATATTACATTTATGAAAATCAATAAACATCTCAATGAACTTTCCGTCGTCTAACGAACAACGACTTTTTTCTTATTGAATTTATATCTCGCAAAGTTAAAGTTTAAGAATTTTCTGCAGAAAATAAGTCAGAGGAAACACAATGATGCAGACTATATTGCACAAGTTCCTATAGAGACTATGAAATGTTGAACTTTATGATTAAAACAGTCTTCTGAAGACCGGACAAATGAATTATTCAGTTCAAAGAAACTTACAGTTTCATAGTTATAATGTTCATTCAGAATGAAAAGTAAGACGTTCTATCATGAAAAGTATGAACAGAAGGGGATGGATTTTAATAAAAAAAACTGTGGATTTTACGTCTGATTTGTTAGAAAATTGGATGTTATAATTTTGTTAATAATTGAAATTAACTACATATGATAGACAATATCTTATGATGTACTATGTAAATATATATAGTGTTTCTTGTCGGAGAAATATTTTGAAATTTGCAGTTGTTTATAATAGTAACTTTTACGTACATATCCATAAATAGTTTTAAAACTGTTAGTTAATTTTTTGGAAGGGAATGAAATTAAAATATATACATAGTTGAGTGTTTTCTGTAAGCACTATTGATATCTCCTCAGTTAAGATTAAAAAATTCTACTGCCAACTATTCTTACACCATAAATCGACTAATTTTCTCGTTTAGATGCTCACAAAACACAACCTTTCTGTTGCTTCCTGGTTTAAGAGTTACAATAATTTATTTTTAGTACCAATATTCATGCCCGTGGAGTTCATTAAGGTCGTGTAATTATTTATATTCTCCAGTATACGGTGTAATACCCCGGTTCAAATATTGAGTGTTGTGGACTCGTTGCCATGAGACGACCTGATTCCTTCCCAGCAGACCTACTGAGGGTTCGTGACCCTTTATATAGATTACACTTGACTCGAGCTTGGACACTAAACTTGAGTTTAACATCTCTGAAGTCTGAAGTAATCCTTCTCGAGTGGTAACGACAAATATAATTTACATACATTTTTTATCTAAACACACAGTTTCTTTTGTTCTTTTTTTTTAATAAATTATGTAAAATATAACTTGTTTTTTATTTATATAATCACTGTCGATATCATTGTTCTTTTTTGTAATGGATTTTTTTTACTGATTCTGTAAAGACGAAATATAGTTGTTGTAGATGTCATATAATGATTTTTTTTACCAAAAAGTTTTTAGATAAAACAAAAAAACTAATACAACGACGTCAACAGAAATGATTTTTTTTAAAGTAATTTTACTAAATGTGTATTTTATTCTTTACCACACTTCCGATTTGGAAATAAGATCTGGTTTACGACCCGGTATAATAATTACAATTTTAAAAGGTTTGATTTACTCAAACTTAGTTACAGACGTACGGAGTCGAGTACAGAAACTAAATTAAAATGAAACTTTGACAGATTATAGTAATAAAACGGATTTATGGCTTTGATCACATTGTTGCCAAAAAACTGAACGAATTAAACATTGTTATCTAATCATCGGCGGATATAGCGGTAGTGTGTCCCGCGACTAATGTGATACTTTATATGAAACTAATGATTATTATTAATATAAGTACATATATTAACAAACAGGAACTGTCACAGCTGACTACAACAGTAATTAGCAAGAACTACTTAATTATTTAGGTTTAAAATCAGCTTAAACATTAAGTTTGAGAAAAATGCGTATATTATCTTTGTCATAGTATAAATTAATGTTAAAACAAGACTGAACACAGCTTAATATTTTTATATAATAAAAGTGAGCCTCGTTTAAAGTCAACTGGATGTCAGAACGTGTTTCCTTCGTAGTAATAACTCGAGGAACTAAGAAGTTTGTAAACTCTCATCTTGTTAGTGAGTGACGCGACCTTTAATACGAGTTATAACACATGATTTATATGAAAACTAATATATATATAATTTTAAGATTAACTTGTATAGAGAATTTAATATGAAATAAAAGACGTACATTATATACGCAATGAGATACATTTTGTTTAGAGAAAGTGGAATAGAACGAATGAATGTAAGGTTTATGTTCACGGTAATAACATGAGGAAATATAAAAAGATTAAGGAAGGTAATGGTTGAAGAAAAGAAATATGAGTCTCTCTTAATATCAATAATGTTTTGATTATATGATAGTACTATCACGAAGGGTGCTAGGTCAAATAACTGACACTTCATCAATTGAACTTTTTTGAATATTCAGCAACTGGTCTATGTCAACAATTTTTATTTAAAGAAGAGCCACAATAGTGAATTATTTATGTCAATATATTTCCAGGTACATAACTCGATTTATTTACTTTTAATATTCGATAAAAGACTTACCAGTTTAGGACTTAGCCTCATGTACCTATTCTTGTCTAAATGAAGTATCTACAATCTACATTCCTAGTTACTGTGTAGTAGACAAAAATGTATACTCATTAAAAAGTGAAAAACTGTATGCTTGATCATAACAATAGGTTAATAGTAACTAGCGCCATCTCGTGATGTACTTAAAGTTAACTTAAATACGTGGAATTTACTTAACAATATTAGT